CAAAGAGAAGTGCGAAAGGTGTATGATTTAACACAGGCACCTTCTGAAACAAAAGTGTGTCATGACATACTCAACACATGTAGCTGGTTAAGAAATAGCCTCAAGGAATTACAAATTCTCAACAACAACTTAATATGGTCTCAACCTCGTCAATCCTCGCTAAGGAAATCCCATGGTATGACTTCTAAATTCAGTGTTCTACTAACTAACACGAATTCTCTCTCAACTGAAAAATTCAGGATAAATTCAGGATGTAAACAATTTCAAGTTGCTTCACATCAAGAACGCTTGTGTCACTACAAGAATCAACATGACGCATTCAATATCACCACTCTTCAAGGAACCAATGACGAGACAATTACCCCATATCAACCGTTTCTGGTATGATCTCTCATTTACTTGTCTTCCAGAACATGTAACAATGAAATACTACGATAATAAAAATTGTGTCAGTAGGTTTACACACTCTGTCAAAAAGGAAACGTCAAGTGTAAAATGTTTTTCTGAGGAACACAACACTCGTGTTCTCAGCAAACACTAATCTTATGTTGTGACTCAACAAGTAGGGTGATCCATCCTCTTGGATTGGATGTAGCATGTGTGTTTTGTGTCCACTGCTCTATATCACCCCTTAAAACCTCCTACTGGTACATTGTATCAGAAAAAGAGTTGCTTATCATTCTCGCTCAGGTTTCCTTATGACCTTCTTCTCTCTTTTCTGTTTCTGTGGTCAATCTCTTGATGTGGAGGGTTTCGTGTAAAACAAGAAAAAGGGGGGGGGAGAGAGAGAAAAGTCTCATGACCCATTAAAAGGAAGAGTAGGAGAAAAGTCCTAGTCTCTTCTGTGTTCGAGGGAAAGGCTCATACAAAGGGGGAGAAAAGTCCTAAAACCTTTGTCTTTACCATTCGATATCTCTATTTAAATGGAAGAGTCGGAGAAAAGTCCTAGTCTCTTTCATATTCAAAAGGAAGGTTCATACAAAGGGGGAGAAAAGTCCTAAAACCTTTGTCCTTACCACTTATTGTTTCAGTGTAAAACAAAATATGAGATTGGGAATTTCTATTTTTTTCTCTCTCTCTTTTCTTTTAAAGGTCTGAGCTTGAATGATAATGTGAAAGCTAATCTGAAACAATCACTGTTGGTGAAAGCTACTCTCTGAGAAATAACTACCACAGTGGACTGGTGGGTTGTTCAGTTTCATGTGTTTCAAAAAGACTTCTGCATGCTACTCTCATCCATATGTGTGGTAACTCATGACTGTGAGCTAAGACGATGAGTTTTGCTGGGTCTCGTTCTTGTGCAAATATTTTCTTAAAATATTGTGGCTATTTTACCCCTGAAACTAGTGCTTGTTAATTACTCTTGGAAGTAATGTAAGTCAAAATCCTATGTGGTGTAGTCTACACTAAGAATGGCTTCGGCTAATTTTTGTCTTACTAATGTGGGTGTTACGTTTTAACAGCCTCACTCCTTTGGAATAAATTAAGTCCACTTTTATCTTAGTAAAAAGGAATTAATAGGCTTGAGCTGAGCGGTTCTGCCAAAAGAGGAGGTTAAAGATGAGTGGTGGTTACTGTGCCTTTTCCATCAAAACCAAGAGAACTGGACTCAACCGTCTCCTTCTTGTCATTAAACCGCCTACTCCATATCTATCTTTTTACTTTACTCTTTTCTACCCCTAATTTCTCTCGATTTCACTCTCAAAGAAACCATCCTTCATATTTTTCTCACTCATTTCCATCTGTTGCATCCTCTTGGTCAAATTCTTTCTTGCTACGCTGTTTAACGATGTCTGTGTCTTTAGAAGATGAGCCCCAACTTGTGGAAGAACCTACTCCCACTAAAAGTAAAAGGCCTGCTCCGACAGGAAAGGGAGGTAAAACCAATAAGGTGAAATCATCAGCAGTTCTCAAAGCAGAGTGGACAAAATGGACTATTGTACATCGTCTTCGAACTCGCACTCAAGGGAAGGATGCTGCTTCTGTTTCTGCTGCAGAGGGCAGTGGGGAGTCAGATTCAGGAGTCTCGTCTGCCGGAACCTCCAAGACCTCGAAGAAGAAACATGAAAAGCCCGAAATGTCTCATCTCTCTGAAGACACGAAGGCTCCGACTCCTCCGTTGCTCCTTCGCTATGAAGCCAATCGAAAGGTGGTTCTGGTTCGAGACAGAAAGTACCCTGAGTTTAAGAAAAGCTCTGTGATTTCACACAGCAAACTATTCGTTACTGCAGC